TCTTTGTATGTAAGGATCTTGACGGCCTGAGGAAGAGTAGAGAGGGGTGAGCTAGAAGTTGACCAGTCCCCCGGGTACCCTGGGGTCCACCTCCCGGACCTGCAGCTCTGCTTAGCAGAAGGTCAGACTGGGCCCCACACCCTGGGTGAGGTGCTGCCTGCTCCAAATGGGGTGGGGGGTGGTCCAATGGGATGGCGTCTCCCAGTCCTGTTGTCTGCGGGACTGGGACAGCCTTTCACCTCGAGGCCCTTGTCCGATCTTCTTAGCCTCCCCTGCCCTCCATCCATACAGCCCTCACCCCCCCACCCCACCCCCCGTCGTCCTTTGTCACCCGACACTCCTAACTCCCTGCCAGCACCAAGAACCCCTTTTCTGGAACTCTTACAGACGCGGATGGACGACGCACTGCCCAGAAAGTGAGTGCCACTAGCTCAGAGCCCCCACGGTCTGGGCTCCCCCTGGACACTCACCTGAAAGGCCTTGTGGGCACTGACATCCTGCCCATCCCCTCTCTCCCAGGGCCTGCGGGGAGTAAGTCCGTGTGCACCTTGCAGGCTTTGCCCGAAGAGGTCCAGGTGGAAAAAGACATAGTCCTCGCCACTCAGGCCAGCTTCCGCGGCCAGAAGCATCAGGTTTCTGAAGGCGTCCGGCGAGCTGCAGATATAGATAACTGGGGAGCAAGGAGGGGGGTGTCAGAGAGAGAAGCCTAGGTCCGGGGGGAGGCGGACCTCCTTGGGTAGAGGAACTGGGACAGTCTGAGACCCCGTGGTGGATAAATGGAACTTCTGTCTCGGCCCAGGCTGTGGCAGCAGAAAGATGGCGAAGGGCGGGAGCAGGAGGTGGGAGGGGGGAAGGAGCCGAGCCCCCGAGAGCCGGGACGGCCGGAGCTGAAGGTGGGGAAGGTGGCGTCAGCCGGGCAGGCGAGGGAGGGAGCGGGTGTGTGGGAGCAACGAGGGGAGGTGGGGGAGGGGAGAAGGCTGCTGGGAAGGAACGGAAAATGTGAACTGAGCCTACTAAGTGTGGGACCTACTAATTGTCAGGGTGGCAGCAGGCCAGTGCGCCCTCCCGTTAACTGGGGAAGAACCGGCGGGCAGGGCATTGGGAGGGGGAGGGGCGCAGAGGGGCGAGAGGAGGGGGCGATGGAGA